ATCCTCCAGAGATGACATATAGATTACTGCATGCTTTCAATACATATGTTGTGGGATTGGTACAGGTGCACTGTGAAAATTAACCAGGGATTTGCTGAGAATAACAACTCATTTCCCAAATCCAGAAAGTCTTTGTTTCCATATTCCAAGTGCAGTTCGTTGGAGTGTGGCTGATGCACATCACAGCACTCAAAGATGCATCATAGTTCAATAGTAGAAGTTTTAATAATGCAAATCAAAATAACTGTTATCACTATTCTCGGGCATTGTGAGTTGTATTGGAACTTAAATTAGACTAACATCATATCTTATGTGGTCTCAGAGCCTCTGGCAGATTTCACATACATTATATCTGGCTGGCTCTGACTCAAATTAAAGGCTGAGTTCTGGGGTAAGTCTTGACGCAGATCCTCTGGGGTAAAGCACAAGTGCAGAATCATCTTCCCTGAAAGTAACAAGTCAGGCAGAGTGTATTGTCAAAGCCCAGATAATTGACCCAGAGGAGAGCAATCACAGAGACTGTCATTAATGCTTTAATAAGCAATTGTCAATTATCAGGGCTTCGCCTGACATTGCAACCTTCTCCTTAAGGCCACCACATAGTGAGGGACTCAAAAAAAGCAATTAAAAAGTAAACTATTGTGAAACAGAAATGGCTTGAAGAAACATGGAAAAACTTTTCTTTTTCTTCCCCTCAGATTCATATTGTGACTTGCTGAGGATGAGAAGAGTTTGATTTCACTTGTTGGCATCATCCTTGTAAAAAAACACAGGCTAAGTCACCATGGAAGGGGTCTCTGAAATATGGGGTGTTTTTAAGTGACCTAAATCTCACAGGTCTGAAACACGACCGCTGGGACACAGGGCTAGATTTAATATGCTGGAACTTATGTTCCTGCTTTCCAGGGGCAAATGTCACTTGAAGCAGATACACATTTTTCATAAGAGTCCCTGTTTAGAGCAAAAAACGACATTTTAGGGACAAATGTTGGACCCAGATAGTCTTCTACTTTGAACTCAAAGCCACCAAATCATTAAAATAGTAGAAAAGCGTGCTTACATGCTTACTTTGAGTAAAGTATGTTACACAAGTCCAGCTGGAGATCCAAAGAAACTACATTAGAAAACCTTACCACTTATATGGTTGTGGTTACTAGAGTTTAATCCCACAGCCTACGCACATAAACTCTAATTCACTTCACATAACAAAAGCTGGTGCGAAAATGTTTATCTAAGCCAGTCCAACATAGTGACTTCTTGAAAGGAATAATCTCTTTCGGATTAACCTCTTGATGTCCTGCTTAGGGAAAAGGGCTCAGAGGTTAAGAGTAGCTAAATCTTTACATCTGACACTGACTTAAAGGAGAGCAGGCGAACACTGAATTTCAGTCCTGAAAGACAGAAGATGAGCTGCTGAAATCATCCCTATAAGCATAAACAGTTGGGGGAGGTGGCTGTCAATATTTAGTTTATGTTCACTTTTGATGGCGTCTGGGGGAAAATGAGATTCTGTGAACAAAGGATTGAGTCACACAACATTCTGAAAAAAAAGTCGGCTACAGCATGTGTGCCTGTCGCAACAATGTATTGGCCTATATTTGAATTAATCTTAAAATTCAAATGTTTTAAGATTAATTCAGGTCAAAATAAATAATATTACCATTAATAGTATTCATACTATGATCTGTAATGCATCTTGCAACTTTGAATGCGTTTTTATAGGGCTGCCCCCGACTAAAGTTTTTCCTAGTGGGCTAGTAGTTGTTAGTTCAAGCCAGTAGTAGAGTAGTCGTCACACATTTATGATGTGTAAAATGCTAACAGAAAATGTGGTAATGATTCTGAAAAGTTTAAAACAACCAGTAAGGAGACTGAACATTTACTAATTAATGCCAACACAATATAACACCACACAAGTCTTGTTGTTCAAAACACGGAATACATAACGTCCTACTTGACAAAACCAAATACTCGCTGGCCTGTTCCATACAATGGTTGATTTATAACAACTGAAAATGAACTCGCTACAAACTCGCTTCTCTTCCTCCATTTCACGCCTCTCCTGTCGCTGCCTGAACCCGCCGTGTCTTCATCCCCAGGGTCGGTCCTTGTTGGAGCTGCTGTAAATCAGCTGGCCTCTGCTGAGGCTGTGAGCCCGGTTCAGTCGTGCGCTCCTTGGCAGTATTCGGCACTGGGTCCCCCTCTCCTACGCTAGTAGTGTTTAAAGACCCTCTGTTCTTCAAGCTCCCACTCCAGGTACAGACCACTGACGAGCTAGTGGCAGCAGCTAGCACACTTAGCATATGCAAGTGCAGTGGTACGTAACTCCCTGAGAAAAGGTCCGTGTTGCAACAATCCTGATTCTTTTATCCCGGTGACAAGGCGCAGCTCTCAAATGGAGTTTGACATAATTTTCCTGCAACTGTCCGATTACTGAAAAGTGAGTCGACTAACTACTCTTCTCAACAGTTAAATGTACCTCACACGGTCAACATAATCTATTAAATATTCTCATGACACAAATGAATCCATAGCCATTATAAAGCTTAAATATATACCTCTGACACAGGCTTTCACAGTGAGCCATAAAAGTGCTGCAAATCTGAAAGTTTTAAGCATAAAGAGAATAGACTCAGTTTGCTTATTTATTCAACATGACACAGTTCTGGGCCCCTGGTAAAAATAAATTTCCTTTCTCATTTCAGTAGCGAAGCCTGCTGCTGTGTGTTCTGTCACAGCGGTTGTTCGGCCACATACTGTTTCTCCACTCCAGCATCTCTCCTCTTGTGCCATGAATGTCACGACTGCAGTAAAGGAGCACAGGCCTTATTACGCCCCCAGGTCACCAATATCCCCTCAGCCTTCACAAAACCCAGCTTATGGAATCAGATACACTGTGTAGCTCGACAAATTACTAGCCGACGGCCTCCCACCCCTGCTCAAAGTTCTCGCGTTTCAGCCCCAATGCCCTCACCACCGCCCCTCCCCCCTGTATCCAATTTGTCAGGTGGAAACTGGGTGTGAAAAATGGTTGTGTTTTTCAATGGAGCCACAGGGGTCCGAGCTGCAGTTTATCGTTGCGTGACTGACAATAAATAAGACTGATCACTAACACCAACAAGATACATTATGAACATCAAATTAATTATGACACTGAGCGATTACTACAGATAATTATTCACAGATCATTTGTCTGAGATGATGGTAAAACAGTGGACTTGGGATGTGAGTGTTTCCTTGGAAGGGAGGATCTAATTTGGCTCTGGCTCAGCACGAAGCCTGCCATTACCTTTAAAGGAAACAGACTGACTGGGTGACTAAACGGCTGAATATAGCTAAGACGCAGTCAATTGGATTTGGAAAGTGAAACAAATAGCTGTGACCCCTGGTGAGTTCAACAGTAACTGAGTCAATTGACTAATTTGATCAGCAGATACCTGAATGGATGGCACCTGGTCGCAAGAAGCAATCCATTAAAGGGATTTATTCCTTTTGTATATGTTAGTGAGTGTGTGTGTGTGTGTGGGGGGGGGGCTTTGTGTGTGTATCCAGCTATATGAACAAGCTTAGGGCACACGTGAGGAAACCTGGTGGTGTGTCTGCAGGCTTTTTGACAGGCTGTTAAAGGTCTACCCTGTAATTGCATTCTATATGCTCACACTCATTAGGCGAGACTGGTCGGTGGTACCGTAAATACAGCGTGAAAGTGGGGAGAGGACAGAGAAAGAGTGAGGCAGAGTGAAAAAAAATCAATGTGATTGAGTATTCTGTGTGCAGCTTTTTATACTCCTGGACTTCCCTACAGTGCATACCATTTTCAGAGTGTGTGTGTGTGTGTGTGTGGGGGGGGGGCAGAGTGGGACTGAGGGAGGTAAAGCGACGTGTTTACAAAAACCAACCAAATCTAAATCCCCTCGAATTTATAGCCTGCCACAAACACATGGCCTGGATCACGTGGTCACTGACATCTGCCCAGCAGTATCGCAGGACCAGAGTTGACAGCTTGCATTGTCTGGGAAGTGATTAAGTGGGGTGTGAGGCTGTTATGGCCACAAAAACTGACTCCCTGTAACACAGAGAGCTGGATATGGAGACTGGAGCTTTTATATTCATGGGGCTGCAAACAGGGGTTGCACACAGCGCAGAGTTTGAATTGAACGTCCTTTGGCACTGATGGCACTTTACTTGTCCCTGGCAGGCTGCAGTTAATCTCTTCTAAAATAGTCATTCGTAAAAAAAAAAAAAAAAAAAATCTAACTAAGACTGGACAGTTTTCCGTCTCCTCGCATCATCATCCTCTTATCTGTAAATAGAATCCCCGTCTCTGCCATTAATCCACACACAGCAGCATCCCCGGACACCGTGACGCACTTCGCCGTGTCAAGAGGTTCTTGAAGTACGAAAAACACAAACAAACACATACGCACACACAAAAAAAATAAACCGAACAAATAAAATCAGGAGCAATCAGTCAGTGAGCACAGCCCTGGTGCTCTGTGCGTCATGTCAACGAAAGCGTTTAAGCTTTTGGCTCCAACCATGTAATTCCCTCCAAAACACCGATGTCATTCACTGCGAAACTGCGCTGTAATTCCATATAGGAATAGCACACAGGGGGTGGGATTATCGAGCATCACTACAAAACGAATCTTAACAGGAATAATGTGTGTACTATTCTAGATTTTTTCTTCCAGGACTGGTTGGTGAGATAAAAGTTGGAAACATATTGCGAATCAACTCTCATCCAAACACTCCCCGTCTCCGTTTACTTCGCGGTCATCTTGAGGTAAACAGAAGTTCACCGCAGGGAAAATCGAGACAAAATCGCCAGTGATGAACAAAAATGATCTCCCTCAACAAATCAACACAGTCCACAAAACGATCATCTTTGGTCCTACTGAGATGTGCGGCATGCAGCTGCCTGCCCGCGGCGAGGATGCTGCTGTGCACCCGGAGCGAGGCACACGGGAGGACAGGAAAGTTGGGAAGATGACTCTTACCTTATGATCGCTGTGTCGCCCTGGCGGATGGTGATGTTGTCGGTGGCCCGCTGCATATCCACACTCCGGACGGGGAATCCTGTGGGGATAAGACACAGCAGTCTGAAAAAAGAAGCCTGCAATTGCCTCCAACACGATTTGCGTCCGACTTGCATTTTAATGCACAGGAGCGCGCTTTTCGGCAGCTATAGATCCAAGGGTAAAAAAGGAGGGGGGGAGGAAGAAGAGTAGTTGTCCAGACTTCTCGGAAAACGCGGGATGCCTTTAAGTCCAAAGCAGTCCGGGAGGAATGGGTGATACGGGTTTCCTATAAGACTTTAAAGGTGCAGTGCTGTGCGGGGTCCTCGCTCTATAGTCCACTGATGCGTAATGCTCTACGCGTAAAGGGACGGCACAGCCAGCAACGGCGATGGAGAGAGGCAGGCTTCTGCTCAGACTCTGGGAAAATAACTCCCCCCCCACCACCACCACCACCACCTCCTCTCTCTCTCTCTCTCTCTCTCTCTCTCTCTCTCTCTCTCTCTCTCTCTCTCTCTCAGATTATCCAGCGTCTGGCTGTGATGCTCCCCTTATTGGTTGTCAGGACAACAGCACCACCTGAGGTCCCTTTCAGTGAGACACAACTGAGTAAGGACTAAGGAATAGGGGCAAAAGAAGCATAAAAAAAAAGGAGGAAGAGAAAAGAAAAAAAGAAGGGCTGTTGATACAACAAAGTGGCACAGGGGGATAATAATGCTGAAAACAACCCGTACTGACCAGGACCACAGGTGTTGTGCACAACAATGTGCTCTTACCCCCCTGCAGATGAAGCCAAGCAGACAGACACATTCTCAGTGGGGATCAGTATTTTATCATTAGTCTTCAAACAAACTGTATGCTCACAGGTATACAGTTATCTAGAGCAGTGGCTCCCAGGCATTTTCATGCCAAGCAGATTCGCATTGGACCATGAACCCTCCAGTGGATAAGACTTTTTGTTGTTAATTATGATTAAGTGTGGTAAATTACACAATCTCAATGTGCTGTAGGTAGAAAGAAGTTAAATCCTCTTACTTTGGAGTCTTTAACTCCTGTGTGAAAAAAAATAACTTTGAAATGTTATTATATTTGCATTGTAATCACCATCAATGGCGATACTTTTTGAAAAACATTAACTATATGGAATATTATATTTTACTCTGAATATTCTGACCATGCTCTTCCATTTTACAGCAGAATCAATTAAGTGGAAAAGAAGAGAGGAAAAGCAAATCTCACACTCAGAACACTCTTTTGACCATGACAAGGCGAAGCCCAGCGGTGAATAGCTTAACCAGATATAAACACTCCTTGTCTAGACTACCACGATCTGACATGAGGCTGGAGCTTGCTAGGTAATTACATCCACTTTCATCCGCAGCAAGGACACAAGTTTTGAATGTGTGCTCCTTACGATTCAACAGAAATGTGAATGCAGAATGAGCTTATAATTTCACCACTTGCCAATCAAGCACCAGTTTAATAGGCCATGATCTGATGCTCATTCGACGATGTGCTTAATGAACTGCAGAGTAACAATTTAGACAGTGCATTTAGCATTTTATTTGATTCAGAAAATACATTAATACTAATGTGAATCATTGTCATTCATTGCACAGTGCATTTTTGTTTTGTCTCTGGGGTTATGTGGTTAATAATTTAGAAACCGACACGTAAAATCTTTAACTCAAACTCTGCACATGGATACAAGTACAGGAGCTAGCAAGGATACTGTATACCAGGGGTTCCCAAACTTCCCTGCCAAGGACCCCATTAGGTGCACATTAGACCACAGACCACATTTGAGAGGATTTTGTTTTAAGGAATTAAGGAATTTTTTCATTTAATTTGTTATTTTTTGGTTTGAGTTTTTTGGTTTTGGTTTCTTCATAGCAAATCAATGATCAAACATTAAACCCTAGTTAAAACATTGTTTTCCTCCTTTAGCTAGGGACCACAGTTTGAAAATCACCCCTACGTATAACTTGAATGTAGACTGATTATCTGTGATGCTAACATTGCACAAACTTGCGTTGATCACTCCCCCTCATACTTAAATATAATGCAATTGTTCCGGTGTGTATACAGTGAGGAGTAATCCTCTTCTGAGGACCAGCAGCCTGATTGAACCAGAGCGAGGTGGTGTGGTTAAATCTTATTCCAGCAGATTTTCAGCACCAGATCAGACCAGTTTTACAGCTGCCCCTCCAGCTGCTGTATCCTACTGTGACATGTACAGTAGGCTTTACAGCTGGATTAGAGAAAATGGACGTGCAGATGTGCACACAGCTGAAAGGGAATTACAGTGAGGTAATTGATATGGGGGAGTGTATGGTGGTGCTAATGTTAGTACATGTTAATGTTAGTTAAGGAGCACTAAAATGTTTTCAGCAAGGGATGCTTGCAAAGCTGATCCCTACTTAGTCCTTAATAATCATTGCCTGTTACCATCTCCTCAAAGCTCTTGGAGGTTTTAGCTATCTTGGAGATTGTGCAGTTTATGAAAGAACATATGCATTAAGACCACTTAAAAAGGGACAACTGGGCTCTGAAGAGCAGAGAAGAGACACTTCTCAGCATACAGATACATACAGGAATGGCTCCCATGTGGCTTTTAGCTATAATGTTAGTTAGAAATTCTCAAATGTCTGTCAGTGGCAGACAGTGTGTAATAAGTAGAAATCTTCCTTGTATGGCAGAAAGATGGAGAAGGGGAGGTCATGGTCTTTGCAGCTTTAACCAATTCCTAACAAAAGGCCAGTGGTTCCTTGCTGTAACCCACATTGGAGAACACACACATGCAGACAAACTGAGTGCTGGAAGACAGAGGGGTTATTATCATGCTAGTGGGATGCTCTGGGTTGGGTGGTGGTGTGGTTTAGACAGCAGAACCGGTCATACATTCTGCTGTGGTGCACACAATAGAAACTGTACACAGTATAATTTAAGTAAATAGAAAGAATAGAATAGAATAGAATACAAAGATGACACAGGTAAAATTACTTTATTATTGAATTTGGTTAGAATATGCACATTTCCTTCTTTGAGCCACCTCCTTTTTTGTCTCTATAATTCAGGAATGATCAGGTGAATTATGAATATGTGTGGTGCATATTAAGAGTAGAATTATACATGGCAACTTTTCTTAGCATCTGCTGCAAACACTGCAGCACACAGAGCCAAAGATTATTTTTGGAGGACAATAATTGTTCTAATGCATGATACAGTGATGAGAGATACACCACATAATTGGTATCTTCTAATGACTAGTACTGCAGTCTGTGACAAATAAATGATGAAGCAACAACGGTATAAGGGGAATTAACTTCTTTGATGGGAAAGCATAACATGATCTATTATTCAACTCTATGTAGTTCAACTTAAAAAGGTGATAGCAAGGAACACCCCGGGAAGCGTTTTTTTTTAAACACACCGAAGACTAATGTAATATAACTAGAAATCATGTCTTTGCTCTTTCACGCTTGGCAACGGGGTGATCACACAGCATTGTAAATTAGGAAGATGAAGCCGGATTGAAACCTCCAAATGTTTCCGATATTTGTTAGCAATACGCGACTCAGCCTTTTGTAGTTTTTTGACACAAGGTCTGCATCAAAGGGCAGCCGCTATAGAATGACTTTATTAATACACATTATGAGGTCCCCCGACTTTTTCCCCATCTCATTACTCATAATGAGTCTGGCACAGCGACTCTACTTGGTGCCGCTGATCAAAGTGGAAGGGCTCAGAACAGCAGAAAGAAATATAGATGTATGACTCGGGTGTAAAGAGCCACTCTTAAAACTGAATTGACACGTACCCATGATGATAGTTCATTCAAAATTTGCAAATTAAAAAAAAAACACCAGACACGCCAGAGAATTTTAGTCTGTGGCATAACTATCAGATGGCACCAGAGCCTGAATGCCTCATAGAGTTTGTATGTATAAGCTTTTATTTGAAATGGAAAAAGGAGGAACATAATATTGCCAATTATGGTTGCATTAGCCCACTGTCATTACAATCAGATTATATTATTTAATATTGTGCACAAAATCTAGAAGCGCTGGTCCGAAATACTTTCTTTCTGGGGAATTTGTATAGGGACTAATGATACAGACAGTCCAGTTTCATAAATTGTTAAAATTCATGCTTCTTTATGTGATAGCAGTATAAGAAGAGAGCATAACAACTGGTTACAATAATTACATTTTCAGTCAATTTTCAATTCAAGTAAGCTACAGCCAGCATGTGATGCATGTGTTATATCCATTGTTCTGTGCACTTATGAACTAGATCAGATAATTTGCTATTGTGTATTTCAAGTCATGCCGGTTCTTGTCAGTCGTTTACAATCAGGAAACAAAAAGCATGATGTACTAGAACTATTGTAGTCCTCTTCGGGAGTCTTGGTCAATATAGCAGACATAACCATGCATCACCAGAGTGACAATGGCTGCACATTACTTTATACCATACAATGACCTGGATTTCATCAGTATTACCTGGATTCAACATCACTGCATAGATTTCATCATTTGCTGTTTTTCTTTGGAACAGTTTTGTCATCCAAACACTTACTGTATGCTATGAAATGTTCCTTACAGAAAGATATAAAGATATGCCCCATGTCAAAGCTTTTTTGGCAGAGTGTGTAGTTTGTTAAAAGGGCCACTCTTATCGTGGTTAGTATTACTCAGTATTGTATAACATGTCCTGTGGCTCTGGAGGAGCTTTGTCAAGTTTGTGAAAATAACCCTGATGATGCCCTGGTGATGTCATTGGGGTTATTTGGTCTTGGAGACTACCAATTTATAACAGGCAGCCTGTGTACAAGGTAGGAAGGATTTAAGGAAAGATGCTATTAATTTGCATTTTGAGAATCACAGGATCCGGTGTTTTTGAGCTTGACCTATTCTAAGAACCAAAAGTCAGGATATCTCAGCTACCTCTATTTCGACTATTCGTTTTCTCATTCAGTCCCCCAACTATATGAAAGTGCAATACTTAACACTCGAGTACCAAATTAAAGAATAACAACTTTGCCACATTCGTACCGACAGAAAAATTGGCTTTTTATTTCTCACAGTGACTGATCCATTGTGCCTACACCTACAGTGCCCGTATGCACTGCACATTAGGCTTCACAATGGCAAATTAACCCACAAAGTCAGGCCAGCCTGAGAATGTGTAACTGGTTGTTAGCGCAAGCTCCATGTCACATATGCCAACTAAAAGCAAGCAGTTGTTCTTGACAAATGAGATATGTACAGTATTTGTCTGTAAAGTTACAGGAAAGCAGCAAACTAACACCGGCTACTTCTGTGCAGTTGGGAAAAAGCAGGAACTTGCTACTTGTTAGTGGAGACACTTTAACTTTAACTTTAACTTTAGCCACATAAAATGACATATTGTGATCTATAGGCATACTGGCCA